TTCTCTGATTTTGTCATGATGCGTAAATGGCGATCGACGATTTAACATGCAGCAAAAAAAAGACAACCACCACCACCAACACAGAGGTAAAATTCCGTGGTATTTTCACTGACTTACATTACTGAGCCTCAGGGCGTGCATTTGCCTATATATATATATATATGTAGGTATCAATATACAAATATACATGGGGACATTTTCATATATACATAGTCCACAGAAAGAATAGTAGTGCTGGTGCGATTGCAAGCATTTCAGCTCAAACGTACACGACTATGCAAAAGAAAAAAGCCGGAAGGTAAGGGGAAGAAAAGGCAGAAGCAAAAAAAAAACAACAACAACAAGGGCCCCGACAACAACAACAAAAAAAATTGGACAGAAAAAAAAGGACAGAAATTGAGTCATTATTGGTGCGCCGTAGGGAAGTCATTTGCATCGGAGCGCCGGAAAAGAGCTGCGGGAAGACGTTGTCCTGGCAGGTGTTCTCTTAGCCATCCAGAAACTCCCCCTCTAAGGGCGGAGGGGGCGGCCGCTGCGCGCGCAGCGGAGAGGGGGACATGCCCATCCTCATCTGTGCCGCGCGTTCCCGCAGTCGCTGCAGGTCTGCACCCTCGGCCGTCTGGGCCAACAGCTCCTCCTCCTCTATGGCCTGCCGCAGACGCGAAGCATGCAACCGCCTCAACTCGCGCAGGGAATGGATAGCGTCCTCGCGTCGCTTCTGCCCCTCAGCTTCCTGCTGCCGCAACGCCTTGTGCAAACGCTCGACCTCCTCATCCAGCTGTTGTTTCCTCTCCCGCAGTGTTTCCCGCTCGCGGCGAATGACGCCTGCACGCTCACAGTTGCCGCGATATGCGAACTCTCGCCGAGCTGAGACCTGCAAACGTTTGGCCCGCTCCATCTCCACCTCGGCCCGCGCTAACGCCCTCCGCTCCTGCTGAAGCTCGGCCATCCACTGCCTTCGAAAGTCGTCGTCGCTCGCGTTGGGCAACCTGCGCAGCGGACTTTGGAAGGTGCTGCGCCAGTCCCCCGGCGGGTACTCAATGCCAGCTCCACGCACGTCACTTGAGAAGGTTGAGGCAAAGCCGTTTGTGTATGCTTTCGCAAGGACGCGTTCGCGCAACGCGCTCAGTTGGTTCTGCCGGTAGCTGTCCTCCATGGCGGCATACTCGCGAAAACACTCCCGCTTCGCCTCACGCTCTGCCCGCGTCTTGGAAGCCTGTTCCTTGATGTGTGCTGAGTGCTCCTCTCGTCTGGTGCTCTGCATCTCGCGTTCAAGTCGTGAGGCATCCCGCACAAGATTCTCCTGACGCAACCTCTCCTCCTTAGACATGGCGAGCTGCTCTGAGATAATCTCTCGCTGCTTTGAAGCCTCCCGGAGCTTGCGCAACGTGCTCTCTTCACACTCTATACGAAAGGCTTCACGTTCGGACCTGATTCTTTTCAGCCGCGCATTATCCACCCGACGTGGAGCGCTACCCAGCACCGACCACCCGCGCTGACGCAGACGCTTGACGGCTGAAGCGTATTCGCCCTCTGCTTCTTCCTGCTGCCTCGCCTTCGCATGAAGCTGGCGCTGTCGAGCGAGCACCCGCTCCTTCGGATCCTGCACTCTCAGGGCGGAAAAAAGATGACTGTGCTTCTCCCTCCAATTTATGTAGTCGTTCATTTTACGCACGTACCCCAGCGGCCCCACCACGAGGGTGCCGTTGATGCGCGCTGAGGCCCCGTCGGGCGGAGGCTTATCGTCCTGCCGGTTCTCAAAGAGGCCGACCGTGCCCACCCCAATGGTGCGATCCCTCTCCGCCGCCTGCCAATAGCTGGCGGCGCCGGTCAACATGTTTGGACGTTGATGCCTTGACGGGTACGGAACAGCGGTTGAAATCTCCCGCCGTTGGGGAGTTTTCGCAGGGTCGCCAATTCTTTTATTACTCCCATTGGCGTCATGCCCGTGGGTTGCGGTCGCCGCATGCTGCGTTCGCTCCGCCTCCACGCCCGCACGATCCTTTAAGCCGTTGTTCTCCACATTCTTTTCCTTCTGTGAAACACCGTTTGGCGAATTCCTCTCGTTACCCTGGACTGGGTCGGAAGCAGCGGCTTCGGGTGCTGCGGGCCCTTTTGCCGTCAAGGTCGTCTCAGCCCTTCCCGTGTCAACGTCGGCTGCGTTGTGTGCGAGGTCGGCGGTGGTGTCGGTTTCCTGCATGTGACAAATACCCCCCACGGAATCCCAGAATAGCGGGGTTTGTCCCCCAGCAATAACCTGAGGCCGGAGTATATAAGGAAGTTGTGATATGGGGCGTGTATTCCCCTTGGATTCTCCCACCTCGCCGCTTTTCTTCTCTCTCTCCCTATCGTTGTTATTTGCCCACGAATACCTCCTGAGATTCTCTCCCCGCTGCTTACCCTTTTCCTCTTTCTCGTTGTTTTTGCGTTGTTGTTTGTTTGTTTGTTTGTTTGTTTGTTTTTTGCAGACAAGCAAATGAATGCAAGGAAACCTCCCCACTTCCCACGTGTGCGACCAGGCGAAGAAGCAAAGAGGGACGGAAAAGGAAGGGGTGAAGAGACGGATGCAAAAAACTGTGGTCTGACGGCGCGTGTGGCAAACGAGGTTTGACGGCAAAAAGAGGCGACCAGGCAAACACAGAAGGGAAGAGGGAAAGGATTCAATAAAGCGACATCAACCACAGCACAGCCAAGACATGCGTGGGCCCAGAAGCATAGGCATCCTACCCCCCCCCCCCCAACCGGGTGAGAGGCACTACCACCGTCCCCGTCCACGTCCCCCTCCTTCCTTTTCTCCCCGTTTCCCCTTGCAATACCTTTATGGCCGTGTCCATGTTGTTTCACGTGTTTGATGATTGACGTAAAACTTGCGTCCCGATTTTGGGTCCACCCGTTCCTCCCAGAAAGGCGGCAGTGCGCTGAGGCCGAGAGTGTGGGCATCACCGTGCAACGGCGCCCCCATATGCGGCTGCTGTGCGGGTTGCGGTGCCACAGCCGGTGTTGGTGGTGGCGGGCGTGTCCAGGTTGTTTCACGTGTTTGATGGTTGACGTAAAACTTGCGTCCCGATTTTGGGTCCAAACGTTCCTCCCAGAATGGCGGCAGCGCGTTGGTGTCTGGTGCGATGGTCATCGGCGCTGAGTTCGCCTCCGTCGCCGCGGCGGCAGAGTTACCGCCGGTGGCACACGCGACTGCTGTTGGCACTGTCCACGATGTCTGCTTCGTTCGTCGGTTCACATAGTACCTGCGTCCGCTCGCGGGGTCGACACACTCGTCCCAATCCGCTGCTGCCGCCGCCCCTCCCCCTCCGACCACTCCTGCCGCTGCTGTTGACGGTGATGAAGTCGCGTGCGCTTGCGGTGCAGTTCCGGCTGCTCCAGCTTGACACCGCTCTCGCTGCTTCCGGTACCACTCCTCCACCTGGCGCTCCAAGTCCACCTGATCTTCTAAACCGCCTGGATGGAGCCAGGTGGTTTGCAGAATACCGCCAGCGTCTGCGTGAACAAAGTAGTGACGGCGTCGCTGCCGGTCGTACATGAGGCTCCAACCGGCCGGGAGGCGCGTCGACACGTCGGGCTCCGGAAACTCAGAAGTTCTCGTCGTGCTCGGCTGAACGTTGGTCACTGCAGCGGGCGTGGGCGGAAACGGGGGCACCGCGTGCACTACCACACTCGCGGGCGGGGTTGCTGGCCCTGCTGGCTTCTCCGCAGCTGGGGCAGCGGTGGCGACGGTGGGACTCGTTTGTGGCACGGCGTCGGCCGCAGTTACGACAGGGGCCGTCTTCTTCGCATCCTCCACCGGGGCCTTCGTGGTGCCAAGCGTCAGTTTGTCCACCTCCCGCTCCTCCGCGCTGCTGGGCACGGGTGCAGTAGCCGCTGTGGAGTTCGCGGGGCTGTTTTTTTCCCCCGCAGTGTCGTCGCCTGGGAGAAAAGGGTTGGGGCCGCCCGCAATGGGCGGCGGGTGCACATGGGAGGAAGCCTCCACCGAAGGCAATGCGGACGCCCCGCCCACCGCCGCAGAAGGCGTCGACGATGCTGAAGACTGCGCCCCAGGCTTGAGGTTGGTACTCCTGGTGCTCGGCATCAGAGCATCCACGCCCGTCAGCCGCTGCTGCAGCTGTTTCAGTTGCATCAGAACGGATAGGGGGAGTTCCTTTCCTTCATTCTGCAACGCTGCCAAGGCGGCACTTGCGGCCTCCGTGTTTGGGATAAAGTTGATCCCTTCGCCTTTTGTCACTGTTGCAATGCCACCGCCGCTACCGTACGTGGGACTCACGTACGCCATCAGCTCGTCCGCCACACTGTCGCCGTCGTAAACGAGAAAACAGACCCCGCAACCGGCGTCATGCGCCAGCTCCAGCGCGGAGGCTATGTAGGCATTCGCTGCAAAGTACACAAGCGTCAGAAACTTCCTGCCTCCGCCGCCTCCCTCGCCAGCACTGTTGCCGCGGCTTCCGTGGGCTTTTGCAAGAAGTGACATTGTCCTGGTGCAGATGGCGGCATCAACGGGCGATCCCGCGCGGCTTGGAATGTTGTCGAGCACAATCGTCTGGAAGTGGAGGCGACGCAGTGCGGTGATGAGCACTTCACGCCGTGACTGCTCCCCCTCCAGCGCCTTCAGCACGGAGGAGGAGAAGAACACTACGCGCTGCTCCACCGCCGCCGCGGTCGCCGGGGCAAACAGCTGGGCCTCGACGGCTCTCAGCATGTTGTCCACGCCTCCACGCACGGCCGCCTCTGAGGTGGGCGCCACGCCGGTGAGAAAATAATCCCCATCCACAAAAAGATGAATCATTCGTCCCTCTCCCTCGCACCCACCGCCACTCCAGAGCGCCGTACAAAAGAAAACAAAAAAAATAAATAAACAAAAGTGTTACACTTCTCTACGCTAGCAGCAATTGCTGACGGGACCACAATTTTGTTTTCCTCCTTTTCTTTTTTTGCGCGAGCGGCGCGCACTCTTTGGAGATCCCGCGCTACGACTACACCAGACAGAAAAAAAGGAAGAAGACAGAAAAGAAAAAAAAGGGGGAGTGCCATTCCCAGCGAACCCATAATGACGAAAAGCGGATAAACCCGGCGAAAAAATGGGGCAGGTGAGCAGCCCCTAACCCACCATTTCACCCACTCGCCCATTACATACACGCACGCACGCCCAATGACGACAACCCGAAAGCAATGAAGCTAAAAAGAAATCATAATTTTAAAAATAAAAATAAAAGAAAGTGCACATGTGCGTGTTATCTGTGCATGCCTGGATGCATAGCTGCGAGGCTACCTGTACGCCTGGCTTTCTGTGGAGGCAGCATGTCTTTGTGTGGTGAATGCGTGGAGGGGGTCCGCACACACACCGGACCACATAAACCTACATGCAAAGAAACAAAAAAAAACGGTACCGCTACCGCAGGTTTGCCAAATGAAGGCCACTGTAGTGGGCCGCCGTATTCTCATAGTCGTCTTTGTGGCTGTCCTCCACAGCGAGGCGGTGCAGTTGCTCACGCAACGCACCTGCACGCTGGCACAACTGCAGCACCGCCTCCTCTCTTGTGTGGCCGCAGTCCCTCCCACGCGCTTGTAGCTGTGCCAAGCTCTGCGCCAGCAAAGGTCGCAGACGACTGTTCTCCAGCACCTCTGAAAAGTGCTTTAACCCAAGCTCAAGAAAGCGCAACACGCGAGCGAGGGACGCACACCACTCGGTCGCAGACGTGTAAAAATGTGAGCCTGACGGCGACAACAATGGCGATGAGGGCGGCTGCAGAGAACACATGCGTGAAACAGACGCACCCGTCGGTTCCATACGGGCAGCTCCAGGCGTGGGGCCCGCAATCTCCTGCAACATCTCTGTCAAGTGCGGGAGAAGAAGATAAAAGGAGTCTGCTGTAAGAGTGTGAAACTGCACAGGGCTGTCTGGCGTCGCACACCCCTCATCCAACACACGTGCTCGTATGAATGAACGGTACGCCCGATTTGCCCCCCGCAGCAGCAGCAGCTGCTGCTGCTGCCACGCTGGGTTGCCCGACCCCCGAGACTGAGGTTCACCTCGGTTGCTCTTGTCCCCGTCCACTTCCTCTTCCTCTTCCGCTTCCTCCTTCTTCCTGCTTGGTGACGCTGCGCTGCGACACGACCTGTTGCCACCGTACGCCTCCAGCACAAGAAGGTCATGCAGGGAGAGGTCATTGTGGGCGTGGCGAGTGGCCCACTCACGCAGAACCGCAAACCCCTCCGTGATACGCTGCATTAGGGCACGCTGCCCGTTCAGCCGTTCCTCTATAGCCACCTGCTGCTGGAGAAGCTGTAGGAGTTGCTCCTGCACCGAGGAGGTCTGCTTTGTTGCCCCACCGCGGGAAAACATCTCACCCAGCAATCACGCCCCTGCCGCTCCCCATGGACTGGGGGGATTGTCTCCCACGTCAAATAAGGGGAGGTGGGAAGGGGCGAAGAAGCAATGAAAGGGATGACGCAGGGCGGGCAAAAGGCGCTACTGCTCCGCTTCTTCCTCGCTCACAGGGTACGGCCTACAACGACGAAGAAAGAGGGATAAACAAAGAAATTGTGGTGTGTCTCACAGTAAGTACGTCCATGGCAGCGGGCACATTGGCGGCCCCGCATCCCCCACGCGGAGAGGGAAGGGGGAAGGGGGCAGCGGCAGAGAAAACACCCTTTTCAGCGGTGTGTGTTCTTATTTTTTATTTTTTCCTTTTTTTCCCCTCCCCCCTCTTTTGAGAAGAGATCCAACCACCGTCCTCCTCCCTGCCTGCTGTCGCGTCACCGCCCGCCGCTCCCACCTCGTGGCCGCTCCACCAGCGACGGGGGAGGAGAGAGAGAGAGGGAGGCGTTTGTGCTTGCGTGCGTCAGCACGGCACGAGACCGCAGCGGGCAACGACGGGCTGAAGGCAAAACAGAGGAAGAAAAGGCGGATGGTAAAACGAAAAAAAGGAAAAATTTTTTCATTAAAAAAGAAAAAGAATGAAATCACGCGTACGGGTGGGTGGGGATCCGTCGTCGTCGTCGTCGCCAACAACATCGCCAGGGCACACCACACGTCGGTCCGCCCCCGCAGAAGGCGCCCGTGTGGGAAGAAAAGAAGGAAAAAGGAAGGAACTAAAATGCGCCCACGGGCAGCCATGCCCAGAGCAGGACGGACGCACACACGCGCCCCCCCTCCATCACCATCGCCACCCCCACTCTAGAAGTGAAGCTTCGTGCGGCGCCAGTGACGGCGCTTCTCGTTCCACTTGATGCGGTTGCCCGTGCGGAGACGAATCCAGTAAGGCACAGGCCTGTTCTGGTTCAGCTTCTTCGCGTACTTCTTCTTGACTGCGAGTGGCTTAAAGCGTCCCATGGCGTAAAGCTCTCCCTTTCGTGTGTCCTCGGTTGTGTCTCACTTGACCCTTTCCACCTTCCGTTTGCGTGTGTGTGTGTTTTTCGTGTGTGGGTATTGTGCAGTACGGCACAGTGCGCCCAGACAAACAGACAAGAAGAAGAGAAAAGGAAAAAAAAAAGAAACGATTTTGATGCATGCGTGCAGGAAAGCCCAAAAAAGCAAAAAGACCATCAGACACGACGTGTGTCGCATGCAGACACGCGCAGCTTTCTTTGCGTGCACACGTTGCAGTGGTGGCGATGCGGAGGAGGAGGAGAGAAGAAAAAAAAAAGAAGTCCTACGAGAAAAAAAAACCAATGTGTGCATGCACATATTTGCGGATAGATAAAAAATCTCTACAAAAAAAAAGGTGCGGGCACACACACACACACAAACAGGGCAAGAAGAATCTAATAATAATAATAAATCGAACCGCATATTTTCATAAAGCAGGCGCCGCACAACATCGCCAGCATTCAGTTTCTTCCATTCATTCCTTACCTCCTCCTTCCTCAGCCGGTCGAGGCACGCATTAGCGGTGCATACCCCATCAAGCGACAGCGTACGATTCCGCGACAAGGCGTGCCTCCTGACTGAACTGCACTGGCACCCCGCTGTCAGTTTGCACCGCCTCAACAACCCGCACCTTTGCGACGGTCGCGCGGGAGGTGAAGCTGACATCCACAGGAAAGAACACTTCACTCCCCGCCGCCGCACCCTCGCCGTCCCCTGCAAGTTCAATCTCTACATTGCCAGTTGCATGATGATGGGCGTCCACTAGTGGAATGGACCAAACAACGCATCCATGGGAGATGCTCCAGCTGCCCACGGAGGGTGTGACTGCCTCGGCCCTGGCGCCATGCAGTGGGAAGGAGATGCGGACGTCGTGGAGGGCGTCGGCGGCGGCGTTGGCGTTCCCCAACTCGTATTCCACCGTGGCACTCCTCGCGCTTGGCCAACACGATAGCATGATGGGCGGGCGCACGCCCTCGGGGTTAAGGAGACGCCACCGCAAAATTGTCACCTGTTGCTGCACCGGCAACGGCTTGTTGTCACGCATGGAGAGCACATGGTCTTCGGCAAATATTTCCTTGTTCACCTTGGCGTGGGCACGGAAGGAGAACTCACTGCTCATGGGAGAAAGGATAAGCCGCACGTTTGCCAACTGCGGGTCCGAGACGAGCACGGATAGTTCGCCGCGAATGTCCACCGCACCACCCTCCCCGTCACGGTTAAGTTGGGCACTAATCTTTTCTTCCACCACAATGTGAAGGCCCTCCACGCCTCCCTCATGCAGCCCCTTCTTTTGATCCAGGCCTCCGCCGGCTCCCGTGGTTAGCGCCGACGGCGGCTGGGCCGAGGCGGGAGCGGCATTGGTGGGTGGCGGCAGCCCCGCCTCCTTCAAAACCCGCGACGTAATATCCGCCTTCCTTGCACGACCAAGAGTTAGCCCTCCAGTCCGCTTCGGCGCCGGCGCTGCCGCCGCGGATGCGGTAGGCATAGGCGATATTCTCCCCATCGCATTTGACAACATGGCAGACTCACCGCCGCCGGTGACTACTACGGGCGCGCTCGCGTTGCCGAAGCCCCCGTAGCCCGGGTCCTCCGAACTGATGCCGCTGTACGGATTCAGCCCCTTGCGTCGCTTGTCACGCAGCTCATGCGCCTTGCGTGATGCATCCTTCTTCGCCCGCTCCATCTGCAGCCGCTTCTCCTCGCGCACCATCATCTCCTCATGCGAGTCCATTTCAAGATACGTTCGGATCTGCTCCAAGGTCGTGCTCTCCCGCTTGCCTCCCACGATGACTTCGTCGAGGGCAAAAAAGACACGAAACGCCTTTGCCTCCAGCATTGCCTCAGTGACCGCGTCCACGTACTCTGGAATGAGGCGACCCATGAGGTGCAGCGTCTCCAGATCCTCAACGATGTTGCTGTTTTTTGTCGTGATGAGGACGAGAAAGAGTTCCTCGAGCGGCTGGTACACGTACCGCACCGCACCGGCATCAATGTAGGTCACCTGTTTGTTGACCGACGACTCCAAAAGGCGCGGGAACGCGGAGAGAAGGCCCTCAATACGAATCCGCGAGATTTCATTGAAGTTCCGCGAGAGAATGATGTGGCCTTGTTTGTTCACCACGCCAGCGGCAATGACAGGCATGGGTGGGCGCAAATAAAGGGGTGAAGTTGTTCGTGGTCCCCTCCCACCCAACCCGTCGAACTTATTCGCTTGACTCTCTTTCTTTCCGTCCACGCGTGTTCTTCCTCTTTGCTGCTTGCCGCCGTCCCGCCTAAACCAGCTCGACAGCCCGAATCGCTCCTAACGCTCACTCTGTCCGCTTCGCACCTGCTCTTCCACAGACCAAGCAACATAAAGAAAGAAGAGGCGGAAAGAAGATGGATAGAGACAGTGACAGGGAAGTGAGGGAGGGCAAGGCGCACACACGCATGCATGTGAGCCTCGCATGAAGAAACGCGCCGGCCCTCGCTTCTCATCGCATTAGTGAAGCCACAGGACACAGAGGTATGCGCTTGCACTGTGTGAACGTACTTAAGTATAGGGGATAGCAAAAAAAAAAAGAATGAAGGGAAAGACGTGGGGCAGAGGCTGAAACAGCGACACAAAACCCTGTTCTACAGCCCCACATATTTATTACTATCTTCAGAGTTTCTCGCCGCTGTTTCTTCATTGGACCTCATCCGCCTCCCACGCAGCATCTCGCACTGCCTAACCTCCACGGGTTATAAGCTGGCGCGCTCCACGCATGGATGCACTCTGCTAGTATTCAGAATAATTTCCCAGCTCAGTCGTGTTGTTTCTTGTTTCATGCCCAGCTCCTTTTTCTTTTTTCTGGGGTTGCTTCCACGTGTCACGCTTCAGCCCATTCGGGGGTATCGCCCCCTGGAAAACCGCTGAAGATCACATCTGTGTTGTGGAGCATCTCGAACTTGGAGTCCCAGTAGCGCTCGACATAAAACACTTCCTCCTGCATCTTTTGTATCTCCTGCTCCACGTCAATATGCACCAGCTGCTGGTGCTTCGGTTGGTAGCGGGAACTCACATTCGGGTCGTGCGGCAGCAGCTCCGTCGCGCAACCCCTCAGGCGATTGTCAAGCGCCGACAACCCTTCATCTGCAGTGGCAACAGCACCGCCGCCACCACCGTTGCCGCTGTTATCATTACTATTACTACTGATATCGGGAGCGGCATTTCTGTCCCCGCTACCGCTGCGCCTGCCCGTCGCGGCCTCAGCGCCGTCACTGCCGCCTTCGCGGCTTTGCCGTAAAAGCATCGCGGCAAGCTCCATCGCCGAGCGGCCGTCCGAGATCACGTTCGTCGACGGCGGCGGTGCAGCCGTGGCGGTAGTTGCGCCGTACAGCGCCTGGACCGCGCGCTTGTGCGGGAGAAATCTCCGTGCGTTGGCCAGAGAGCCCACCCAGCGGCGCGACACGTAGTGAACGCGTCCGAGGATCAAAATGCCCGCCGCCAACGACACGGAGCAGAGCACAACACCCACGACGTGATTGCGCAGGCTCATGAGCAGCACCGCACCGACGCCACCGAGGCAGTATAACCAGCTCGCCGCCCGTATGACCTGGGCGGAGGCACTGAACACCGTGCAGTCATCCAGCGGGTCAATTTTCGGCCTGTAGCGGTCATACAGCCTGCATCTCTGCGTCATGTACCGCAGGAGAAAGTAGAACCCGACGAAGAGGGCCAGCAGTGGAACGGTCATGTGGAAGAGGAGCCCCATCGCGAGTATCGTGAGGTCAAAACTGTAACAGTACGTCCAATCAAAATGGCAAGGCCCGAGCAGTCGGTCGTAGACACGCTGCAAACTCGCCATTTTGCGTTGCAGCAGGGCCATGATGAGTTTTGAGGGGCTTATGAAGTACATCCACACGGAAAGGCAGGCCGCGGTGATGACTTTGGCGTACCAGTAGCCTCCCTTTGGGCTGACAACGGAGGCGAAAAAGCCAATCACTGCCTCACCTGACGGATCGGCAATCAAGTCCGCGAGCTGAGACAGTCCACCCTGCAGCGCTGCCTGGAAAATAACCCCCGTGAGCACCATGAAGAGGTACTGCAAATACAACTCGCCACCGCGGAGCTCCTCCCGATTCACAGCCCCCATGGCGACTACAAAGCCACGAATAATATACGGAAGCGCTGCATTAAAAATTTCCAGCATCACAACCGGGAGAAACGCCGTGACGGCGCCGCGTACCTCCTCCGGCGTCTTCATGTACAACCTCAGCACCGGCTTACCAACGCCGGGAATATACGCAAGGTTGTCAAGAGAGCTGAGAAGCCCGACAGGTACGGTCCAAAAGAAGAGAAGTACAATGAAAACCAAGACGCCCGCCAAGGCTCGCAGCCAACCCATGTATCGATCCGCCGTGAGGTTGAAATGAATGATACCAGACGGAGGTCCCGCGATGGTTGCTCGTGCCCCCGCCACGCCTCCCCGACGTGACTCGAATAGGTTCACAAACTCGTACGCTGCAAGGGCATCGGAAAAGATAATAAAGGCAGACCCCCTTGTATGCTTGACCGTGGTGGCATCAATAAATTTATTTAGCCGTGTCGCCTGTGCAATGAAGGCCTTCGTTCTAAACTCTACCTTGGGAACCTTGCTACAACACCAAGGGCACGGCGCATGCATCATGAGAATTTGCACCGCCTCATCCTTGCCCTGAGGCGCACCCGAGAGTGTTTCCTGCTGCCTCTTTAAATACGACTTTTGGTCGGCTATGGCCTCCTGCAGCGCCTCCATGGCAGACTCCGTCTTATCCATGGTGCGGTACATGCCCCGCGGCGGCTCACGGGGAAAGAGCAGCTGCTGCACACTGGAATCCCTCGTGAAGATGGCGTCCTGACGCGTCGTCTTGTAGTAATTGAAATCAACAACAGAAAAAATACAACTGAGACTCGTACAATCGCACTGGTAATACGCATCCTCCGGCTCCCCGTCAGCGCCGTCTTGATCGCAGGGCCGATTCCCCTTCACAACTTGACCGCCACTCCCTCCCCTCGGTCGGAAGTAGGCCTCTTCTACAAGATACGCTTGACGGAATTTGGCTTCAGACATCATATCCGCGCCTAGGCCCCGCACAATCGCCACACGATGTCCAAGGGCATGCTCCATCTGAAGTCGCATGACGTGTGTGATGTAGGCATTGGCGCGCTGCAGAAAAAATAGGACAGCCACAACATACACGGCCGAAAAACACATGTCCAAAACCCCCACAACGCCAAGACGCCAGCTGTGAGGCCGGATGTTTTGCGCCGAGAGGTCGTAGAGGCCTGGAAGTCTGACGGGGTGGCAATCCGTCCCCACGTAGCGACAGAAGGGTGCCTTGGCGTTGCAGGCCGTCGCATTCCCGTCCAGCAGGCGGCACTTGTGAATGTCACGCCGAACTATGTAGGTATCTAGGTAGTTATCCGTCCCGGAGAGGACGCAGATCCAGATATTGAAGATTCCACCGACAAGAAAGACGGTGGCAAATAACTTTAAAAAGAAAAGGTAGAGGGAAACATGTGGATCAAGTGGCACTCGTGTCTTGGCTTCTGCTGCGAAAAAGGCGCGTTCCGCCGCCGTGCCGCCTTCGCCGGGTTGAGGAAAAACGGCTGTTACGTCCGACTGCACGAGGCGCTCCAGGTGCGCCACCTCCTCCTCCACGCTCAGCCAGTCACGCAAACTAGGAAGGACGAAGAGCGAGCAACGGTACGGCAGGACACGGCCCACACGGCGTTGTGGAGAAATAGGAGAGGTGGAAGAGAACTTTGCGTCCGGTGTGGTGGCGGTGTTGAGGGCGGGCAGCGCCTCCCCTGATCCCTTCCGCGGTGATGCTGCGGTTGACCCCGAGGTCACAGTTGTGGTGTGGTTAGGGCGGTAGAGGCGTCGTAGCCAAAGGGACGGCACGACGAGGAAGAAAACGCTAAGGCCTCCAAGCACCGCAAGCGCGAAGGCGTTAAAGGCCAGTGTGAACCACAAACCCTGGTCATCCCAGGTGGCTTTGGGGTCCAGCGAAACGTTCATCCTCGGGTGCTATCGTTGCAATGTCTGTTGTTGTTGGTTTTTTTTGTTGTGTACTTCTGGCTTCCAGAAAGACGGCTAAGGCAACGCATCACACGGAAACAAAAAAGACGGCGGGCAAGTTGCGAAGTGAGAATTAATTGTGTCCTGTGTCAAGCAGAGAATCAACACATACCTCTCCCTCCGTGCACACACAAGTAGATGAATATGTATACAACTCTGTGTGTGTGTGTGTGTGTGTGTGCGTCTATCGTGCAATGAAAATGGGCCTTGTGCAACATGAAGCCCCTCTGCTATACGCACGCACGCAGGCACAGAGCCACACAATCTCTTTTTCTACTTCTTCTTGTAGCTGTTGCTTTCTTCCCTTCACTGCAGCGAAAAAGCTTAAAAGGGAATTCGCCTCTTATCTACATGCGTTCCACAAGGGTAATATAACTTCACATGCGTGCTACGTTGCTCTCACGTAAATCCTTCGTCTCCGGCGACCGTCTTAGAGTTTGCCTCCAGGATTAATGGCAACCCTCCTTGAAGCTGACGTGGGCGACCTTCTTTTCACTAGTCGCCGCCGATGGTTGCTTGACCGTTTCCACTGTAGTGGTTTCTTCCTCCACGCCTTCCTCCCCCTTCTTCGCCTCGACCGACGCGGCAGTGTCCACGGCTCCGCCAGCAACCACGGCTGCAGCGCCCTCGCTTTCCGCCTCTGATTGGACCTCCTCCGCGTCTGCCTGGCGCGGCGGCTCCTGCGCCTCGCCCCAGCTGCTGACGGTGCCCAGCGTCGTCGGCAGCGGGCCCACGCCACAGTCAACGATAACTACAAATCGTGAGGGGTAGCCGTTGCGGTCGCCGTAGGGCGCCACCTCCCGCATAAACTCGTCGAGGCCACGCGTGATCCGGCCAAAGCAGACATGGCGGCCGCTGAGCGCCTTTTCATCCGCGTCGGAGGTGGTGATGAAAAACTGCGAGCCGTTACTGTTGGGCCCATTGTTGGCCATAAGGAGAAGGCCAATTTTATTGAGGCGGTGTCGTTTGTTTTCGTCCGCGAACCAGCCACGGCCAAAGCTGGAAAAGTAATTCGCGCCCCTGTCCACACGCATCGTCAAGTCTCCCCCCTGGGCGCAGAAGGCGGGGATAATCTTGTGAATGTACGTCCCACGGTAACACGGCGTGAGGCCCTGGTACAAGTACGTCTGCCCTTGGCGACTGGTGGTCTGCCCCGCGCACAAGTGACGGAAATTCGCACACGTTTTGGGAGACTCATCATCAAACAACTCAAACTCAACGCGGATGATGACTTCAGGCTCACCGGCGCCTTTGGTGGACGCCAGAAGGTCCTGGCGCTGCTGCACCATCGAGCCTGAGAGGGACGGAACCTTCGGAAAGCCGCCAAAGCAGGCGAGCTCCATCCAACACGCTGTGCGTTCTAGGGGGCGTGAGTGACTGGCGTAGCGCGTCCCAGATACGGCAGAGCCTTGTGTGAGCGTGCATCCAAGGCGGCTGGTTGTTGTAAGGTTCATGGTCTCAGTCCACCTATACCAAAGTTACGAGCCGATGTAGATGTCAGCTTGGCCTCCCTCTCTGCGGCACGCTGACTAAACTCCTGGGTTTTTGTTATTGTTTTATGCGCACAGCAAGACGCCTGCAAAGCACCTCCACGTCAATGCAAAATGCACGAAGAAGTAAATTCAGAGAGATGAGAAGAGGCAGAAGTAAATACAAGCCAAAACAAAAAAAATACGAAAAAAAAAGGGGGAGGGTAAAGTGCTACGTACTCAACAAACGTCAGCGGCTCGTTCCTTCGGATGACCCCCCTCACCCGCGTGCTCCCCTCCGGTCGGTTTGTCTTTCTGTGAGGGGTGTGTAGCGTGTCAAAATACTGTGAATGAGCCCTTTTTCCATCCGAGAGAAGAAGAAAGGGAAATAAATAAAAAAGTGAGATGACCACGTCCGTACTCCAACCTCGATGCGAATGCAATTCCCTTTCTTTTCCTTCTCTCTCTCTCTCTCTCCCATTGATTCTGCTGTCTACGGCGATTTCCTTTTTCCGCCTCTGCTGTCTCATGGACGGAGGCACTGTTCGCACGCAATCGGTTATGATGGGGCTACTCGTGTAGTTTCCTCAAAAAGGCGAGTTGGGGCCGGGCTGAAAACGCCTTTTTGGAGGCGTGTAATGCCGCCCACTTGTAATAAAATGCTTCATGAGCCTATGCATATACGGCCTCGGCGTCGATGGCTTCTCGGGCGTCGCATTATCCGGCTGAAGCTTGTCCCTCGCAAAGCCGCCGCCGCCATCCTGCGCGGTGGTCGCTCCACCACCTCCTGCCCGAGGCGGCGTTGACGTGGTGGGTGGCTGCGGTGTTGCGGGCGGCTGCTTGCGGCGCGGGAGCCCTGCCCGGTAGTTGGAGAGCACGTCTTGACCCAAGCCGCGGAGAATTTCCACAGCATGCAGGTAGCACATCCTCTCCGCATCCTTCTTCTTGAGCGAGATGCCGACCGCCAACAGACGCTCCGTGGCCTTCTGCACCGTGTCCTCCGTGTCCTCAGCCTCGCGCGACTGTGAAACTGCCGCAACACAGCCACTGCGACTATTGTTACCCTCATCGTTGGTGCCATTGGTCGCGGCGGCAGCAGCAGCAGCAGCAGCGGAAGAAGAAGAATCAGAAGATGTGGCGTCTCCCCCTTTAGTATTATCACCCCCTTCTGGCGCATCCGCAGCGGAGTTGTTAGACTTTTTCTTCTTCTTCGCATTTGTGGCTCCTTCGGGGGCGGGACGTCCCGCACTGGGGAGCACAAGCGGCAGGTACGCAATGTTATGCACACTCACTTGTCTGCCGTAGCCGGTGATGTACACAGACGCATTTACGTTGCTGTTCCTCGGCAGGTGGTGGCGCAGGTAGTTCTGCACGCAGACTTTTGCCTCGTTGCCTGCCTCAATGATGGCCTCATCGCTCAGCTTCTCACCGTAGACGTCAAAGTCCTCGGGGATGCGGAGGTGCAAGATGCACAGCGTGTCCGCAATGTGAGGCAGCGGGCGTGGTTGGTTGCCTTCAACCATGTACCCAGGAAGGTACGGCGGCCGTGCACTCCTCTCCGGGGACGGGGCTTTGGAGGCCGCCGCCGCCAAGGAGGGGGCCGGAATGGCGACAAGCCCTTTGCTTGACGGCAGCCTCGCCATGTCTTCCACCGTCACCAGGCCCATGCGTCGTCGCTGCTCCAGAAACGCGCGCTGCCGCGAGGGGTCCGGAAAGAGCGGAATTCCCAGCGCGCAGAGTGTATCCACCGCGTGCAGGGCGCAGAGATCCATCGACTGCTCCATCGTCTTGCCCACCGCATTACCTCCGCGAACGCCAAACACTTTGGGCACCGGCAGCAGCGTGCTAGCACGGAACTGTTCGCCCATGCGCGTGATAACAAACAGGTCGGGGTGTGGGTTGCGGGCAACCTCACGCTGCCACGCTTCCAGGGCTTTCCGCGACTCAGCAAGGAGACCGGGATCAGGATTGGACTCAATGTAATCACCGCAGTAGTTGTTTATCTCATTGTGCGCCGCAATGAGGCGCTCCCCGAGGCTGCGCTGATAAGTGTAGCGTCGCAGCATTTGCGGGTCAAGCCAGACCTCATCACCGCCAACCTGCTGCTTCAGCGGGAGCGGCAGCGCGTCATGCGGCCGCGGGTGCTGCGTGTCCCCGGTGATTGGATTCGGTGCCCACCGGCCAAACCTTTCGACCGCCGTCGCATGTCTCGCCTGCCGCGCGTCGTCCTGCGGAAACAAAGGCCGCGCAAGGGCGTCCAGCAACAACTCCGCATGCATCGCGGCAAGGTGTTCCGCACACTCTTTGGTTTGCGCCTTTCCACGGGCGACGATGGCGTCATGAAGACGCAGCTCTGCCACATACATTCTAGCGGAGTGGCCAGGCACGGCCACGTGAGAAATAGTGATGCGGTCCTTCAGCGTCATGCCTTGATGCAGAAAGTGATCCTTCAGCCGCTCGTACGCCGTCGTCTCGTACACACACGGAAGTAGCAGGGCATCCTGCGAGGGGGAACACCGTGTGGAGTTCGCATTCACCATCTGCCACATGCCCCCCTCCGTTGGGTCAAAAGGGACGGCGGTGCCCATCGCCGCCGTCGTTCCTCCTCCCGTCGCCGCGACTCCCCCATGACTGCCCGGCGCAGCGGGGGAATGCCACGGATAGTGCACCGTGGCGTGATACGGCGGTTCCCCGCTACCGTCTGCCTGAAGAGCGTCCAGGGCTGTCGTTGTGCCATTCGCAGCGGTGGCATCAACGGGAGCCGTGGGAGCCGTGGGAGCCGCAGCCGGTGGGGGTTGCTCCAGTGACAGCTTTGACGTGCATCGCCTGCGTTTGCCCGTCACACTCGTGTCGGTGATGATCTCTGCCTCTGCGATGGTGGTGGAAAAGAAGGATGAGGCCTCAGCGGCGTCAGTGGCGGCGGCGGCGGCGGCGGCGGCACCGCTGCCCTCGGGCGCCGCCGTCAGCATACGCAGCGGTGGCGGGGCGATTGTGTTCTCCGGTTTGATTGGATCGCCCGGCATCGGTGCGTAGCGACCCTGGCGCCGGACATTCTCCGCGTACTTCTGCTGCATGGACGACAGTCGGAAGAGCGGAACACCCAACGCGTCACACACCCGCTCCGCGTGCATCGCGGCCAGCAGCTCCGCGTCCTTCTCATCCTCGCCGACGCCCTCTGCCACGTAGAAGTGGTGCGGTGAGGGGAGGACCAGCTTGCATCGTGCACGGTACACCGTCCTTCCCAGCATCGGCTCCGCGCTCACTTCAAACACGTCTGCAGAGCGGTTCCCTGTTCGGCGGACGTAGTTGAGCACGCGGCTCTTCGCAAAGTTGTCAATGCTCGTGACATCCCAGTAGTGCTTCTGCCGCAGGTGTTCACCTGCAACCTGCGTGCCACCACCACCGCTGCGCCAACTCGCCTCGCCACCGCGGCGGTGGGAGTTCGCGGCGGCACGGCCCACCCCGCCACTAGTGTCGCTGCCTTCGCCTGCGTGGCCACAGTGTTCCTCCGCGGCGGGCAGCAGCTCAATTGTCACCATCTCCGGCGCAATCGCCTCCCGCACGACGAAGCCGCCGCTGCCGGGCGAAGGCACGTGGCCGCTTAGCGCCGTGTTACTCCTCCCCATGAGGCAGCGGCGCGCCGTGCAGAGCAGGCGGTCAGCGCCCACCAGCAGCCGCACCCTCTGCATGTGTCCGCCTCCGCACGCAACGCCCTCGAGAAGAACTCCACGCGTGAAGTGAGAAATAGTTGCGGCGCAGGGTGAAGGCCCGTCCGGCACACCACCGCCGCAGCAACGCATCGGAAAAAAAAAAACGACCCCCCCCCAAAAAAAAAAGCAGGAGAAAAATAAGAAATGGTTGCAGCGGAGGAGGAGGAGCACATGCACACATTCCACGTGGTATAAACTCCCCCTTCTACCCTCCTGCCGCCTCTCCCGCCGCTTGCACGGCGACCGCAGCGACGGCCGGGGCGAGGAAAAGAAAAGCAGCAAAAGCAACCACGACGGCGGTGATGGCGCATAAGAAGAAAAAAAAGACAAAGACAAAAAAAAGGGTTAGGGAAAGTGGCATTACACACCCACACACATATATTCGCATGGACAGCATCTGCCGGAGAGTGACAGCATGAAATAGCAGAAGTCCTTCCGGCACTCGAGCTCCCCACAGACCCCACAACGTCGTGCAGAACGGCACCAGAAAGACTATGAAGGCGGAAATAAAAACAAAAATAAGGCACACAGACACGTGCACAAAACACGAGGAAAAGCAGGAACGCAATGTCCACAACATATAACAACTACTACCTCATTCTGGAGCGGCTACGGCACACACACACACAGTCATACACACAGGCAGAGAGCGACAGCGCGAGCAGACGCAGCAATGGAAAGTGGGGAGAATAAAAAAAAAGGGAAACAGCACACATTACCCTGCATGCTCTCCAACGCCTCGCCCCACCCCACCCCCTCAACAGCACACCACACCTTTGAGGCCGTGTTTTGTTCGGCGTCGCTCTGTCCTTTTGCTCCCTCCTTTGCTCCCCAAAAAAGGGTGGTGCGGGCCGGTCACGCAACGTACTCAAATACGGAGGCGTCTGTCTCGCTTCGTCGCAGGAAGCCGCGACAGACAAGATCCTCCACCTGCGTCTTTACGGATCTTGCACGGGGGAACAAAGTGTTTGGAGAGCTGTTGTAGCGTAAGCTCCAGAAGCTCGTAGTACCGCAGCGCACGTCGGCTCTTCATAACGCGCACAATGGCAGCATCCATCTGAAGTCGCCGCGACACCTCAATTCCGTCGGAGAGAGCACTCGCTCTCCTGTCTGCAGACGGGGGGTCCAACGCGGCTCCCTCGCACTCATCGCCTCGCGTGGAACGTGCAACAGGGAGCTTGAACTTGCGCAGCCTGTGGGCGTAATCGAAGTTCAGTGTAAATCTGTCCTCGGGCAGCAGCCGCCCAGGCACAGGCACGACCGCCGCCGCCTCTGCGCGGGGTAGTGACGGCGATGGGGTTGTTGGCCCTGCACCGGCTACGGCTGCTGGCCCCACGCGTAGCAGAAGATTGCAGAGTTTGTGCTGCACGAGCGGGGCAAGATAAATGTAAATGTCGCGAAACTCCACTCCCATCGCCGCGGAGATCTCTCGACCGGAAAGCGAACGCCACCGCGTCGCGGTCGCTTGACCCGCACTGTTCCCCGGACTGACCGCCGCAGGACCGCCGTCGGCGTTGCACGCGTCGCTCACCAAAAGAAGTATATGTGCCTGCAGGGTGTTGGCAACCACTTCCTTGTTGCCTTTTGGGAACACGGCGTGCAGCGTCGCGGATCCGAGCGTGTGGATCCAGTGCAGCATACGGGATGGATGTACCGCAATGTAGTAATCCGTGAAGGCCTTCATTGCGCGGGCGAGCGAGTCACATGGGGCGAGGGGCAGCACGCGATAGGTCGGCCAGTGCACCGCGGTAAGGACCTGCACCCGCAGCTTCGTCCGTAATGCAAGGCAAACATCGGACCGCAGGAATTCCTCATTCATACTCGCATTTGCTTCATGGTCCCGCAACATGGCCTCCAGACTGTACGTCATCGTGCGTCCCAGGGCTTGGCGCAGCTTATGCATCAATGCATGTTCTCGATCCATATTGAGCTGTGCCGACGGTAAAAACAGCAGACGACGTGCCAAGAGGAGTTTATAGTGCTCAAAGAAAACGTCCTTGTCGTCCAGAAGTGTGATGAGGTAGACGACGTGATCTACGGGGTCTGTCACGCCGTCGTCGAGTTCCCGCCGGCAAAGTTGGTCACAGTACAGGGCAAAGAACTGCGGCACAGCAATCTCCTTTGTTCCACGCATGGTGGTCAACCGCCTCAGCACACCCAGCGTTCTCTTCACGGCGTCATGGTTGAGGAGAACGCTCGGCAACTCCCCTCGTGCAAGAGCAGAGACGCCGGCATGCATCGTGCCCCCCACCACGAGCTGCCCCCATCGATCTGGGTTTAACACCTCACGCAACGCGTCGCCCATCGCCAGCTGCATCGGTGGGTGCTCATTAAACTTGTCGCAAATAAGGTCAGTGTAGTGCGTCGACACATCCACAAGGTCGCCAATAAGTCCCATCGCCAGACCCTGCTGCGTCAACGGCTCCGGGTCCGCTGGCACAGCTTCCCCCCTCTTCGCCAGCAGCAGCAGCCGCCGCCGCCGACTCAGGGGCAGGACCGTCTTCCGCTGTCGCGCCTGCGGCGGCCTCAGCAGCGCTTCCTCCTCATGCGGCGGCGGCTGCTGCTGCTGCGTCAACGCCTCCACTTGGGACATGTAGGCGAGGAACAGCGCGACAGTGTCCATGACTACTTTGCTCGCGAATTCGCTGGCCAGCAACGTCCAGCACGCCTCATCCTGCGTACTGAGAAAGGTTGTAACGAAGTCTTTTATGCGGCGTCCAAGCTCCTCCTGCGGGAGCCGCTCCCACGGATTTGTCGGCGGTGCTACGACGCACGCGGCCGACGCCGTGGCAGCGTCCACGTCGCTGCCATCTCCCAACACTGCCGCCCCCGTCGAAGCGGAGGAAGTGGAAGCCACGTCGTTCAACGTGGTAGCGGCGCCCCGCCAGGTAAGGCTGTCCCACGCATCCAACTGGGCACGGAAGCCAGTCTCCTTCGCAAGAATAATCAACCGATGGACCTCCACTAGAAGGACGTGATTCATTCGCCTCCGCAGAGCACTGGGAAGCTGTGGCGCGTTCACGTCCCGCAGTAGCACGCGCTCCACCGCAAGGCAGCGTTGGACCCACGATATGTAGTTAATCCAGCCTTCAGGCAGGCTGAGCTGCATCGCACGCTGTTTTCGGTAGTACGCCTCGGCGGCCTCCACGTACCGCAGGCCAAAGTCTGCGAAGATGAGAGAATGTAGCGGCTGCACGACGTCGACAATGACGACCCCCACGGAATCCACTGGCCACGTTGTAACACCACCACCCGCAGCAGCACCTCCAACAACACCGCCGCTGTTTTGAAGACCCTTCTTGCCACTGGGGTTTGTCACCAAATGACCCGTTACCAGTTCGGCAAGTCCACGCCTCTCAAGCATCTCGCGCAGCATACGGGTAGCACTAAACGCTTTCACTGCCATTGCATCCCATTCCGCTGCTGAGGAGCTGCCGCTGTGGCCTTCACTGGCGGTCCGTTGCCGCATTCGGTCTTGATCACTGTCGCCGCCTCTCCTCGAACAGGACTCCGTGGAGAGGCCATGCGCACGAGGCACGTCACACCTCGGCTCTGCTGTCGCGCCCTGCCTGCGCTCTGGCCCAGCGGCGGCCGCAGCGGGCACGCGGCTCCCCTCGCCTCTGCCCTGCGCGAAGCTGCAAGGGCCTGCGGCATCCTCTTTGGGGTGGGGTCGTGCACTCTGCGCGGCCGCGTCGCACGGGGTTGAGAAGGCCTTCACTGTGGTTAAAATCTCCACAATGGCCGCAATTGTCTCCTGCACGTCGCTGCCTGCCGACGACACCGCACTGCCACGAAGCTGCGCCGTCCGCGCCGCATTTGCCAACTCCAGCATCTCCGCCACCAACGCCTCCTTGATGGGCTCATACACCACGACGTAAAACATCTTTACGCACAACGCCGTCACCGGGTCAAGACGAAACTTCGCAGTGAAGTACTGATCCAAGTAACTGAAGCAGGAGAGAACGACGCGGCGGAATGCCATGAAGAGTCGGTACTGCTGCACGAACTGCTGGCACAAGCTCGACGACGACGATGAGCCACTGGCGGTGCCTTGTTCGAGAAGCGGCCGCAGAACGTTGACCTCCAAGTCGTTCAAAAGGAAGAGCGACAAGTGCTGGTAAATTTCACTCGACTTCTGCGGGTGTACGCTGCACACGGAGTAGATCACGGCGTACCAGTTCATGCGGTGTCTCACGTCCCGCAGCCGGTCCATCAGTTCGACGCTCCCGGTGCGTATCGTGTGGGCCGCCTGCACGAGGTAACTCTCCACGCCGGGCCAGAGGTCCTCCACCGAGGGCCGATCCTGCAGCTGCGCGAAGACGTCTGACTCGCGAATGCGGGAAGAACCAGTTCGTTTGCCATCGCCACGGCTCCCGCCACTTTCATGCCGCCTGCTACTAATGCTGGTTGGACCGAGCGAAAGCGACATTCAAGCTGGCGAAGAAATTGTCTTCCCCAATATTGCCGCCACCTGACGCGCTCCAACGCCTTACTATTTATTTTATTCCTCTCCTTTTTTTTCTGTTTTCTCTTTTTCCTTCTTTTAATCCCTCGCGCTCGATCACCCACAGCGAAGTATATATACCTATCAATAATGTGTGCACCTGCGTGTGCCTGCAGTGTGTGTGTGTGTGTGTGTATAATATATATAATATATACAGCCAGGGGTGATGCGTGTATAGCTGCGGATGGCAATGATGACCCTAAGGCAGCCTAGGAAGGCTAGGCGGTCCGATGCTTTTGCGCATGCCGCGACAGAGGAGAGAAGAGCAAATGACGGGGTAGAAACACATCGCTGGCCTCATCTCAAGCGAATGGAAAATTGCCGAATCGGAACGCGAGGAGCGGCATGCCGTGACTGGTGCACTGCAAACATTCCCACGCCGCTCACGGGCACGCGTGCTTCGCTTTCCTCTCTCTCTCCCTCACACACACACCCACACACACCCACACGCACCGCCGTTTTTTTGTTCTTCTTGGAGGATTCTCTTCACTCGCCCCTCACGAAATCTCCTCCTCTCCTACATATGCGTATGTCTGCGCATGCCGCCGCGTGTCGGTGGAGTCGACACAGAAGAGAATATCAAACGGCAACAAACAAGAAAAAAAAACGGAAAAAGAATATGAACCAACATTCCACCCCACGCCGCTTCCGTTCCGTTTTCCTTTGCAATACCTCCACCAACCACTTCACCTCTCACTCCCTATCCCTCCTATGGCTTTGCCCCACGACCCCCATCGGTGGGAGGTTTCGCCGGGCCTCGCTTCGTCTGGCCCTTCGCGCCGCCCGAATTATTTGACCCTTTCGGTTTGTTCAGCTTCGACAGCAGGTCCGTCATGCTGCGTGAGGCGCCCTGGCGTGGGGGGAACGCCGTGCGGACACCGCCGCCACCATTCCCGTCCGTTTTTTCCTGCCTCTGCCTCTGCCTCTGCTGCTGCTGCTGCTGCTGCTGCGATGATCTTTGAGTGCCGCGCCTCTGATCGCCTGCTCGGCCGCTGCCAAGCACCCTGGCGACGTCCCCGGCAATGGCCCCCTGCGCCGACGGCGACGACGATGGCGTGGCGGACGTCGCACCGCCGCCGCTTCTCTCGCCGCCACCGCCACCGCCATTTCCGCCCATTGACTGCTCCACGCTGCGGCCCTCCAGAACGTTCCGCCAGTACCGCTCACTGTTGCGCCTGAACTCCTCAATGGCGGCAGAGCGTTCGTTCTCCAGCACGCGTGACAACCCACGCACACTATTCTGCGCCTTCTGCCGCAGCGGCTGCACGTTTTCCGCGTAGTGCTTCAGCAGTTTCTGATAAAAGGCAAGCATCGGCATGGTGCGGTAAAAGAAGCGGTTGAAAGTTGCCACAATACCGGCACCATTCTGCGTGTTAAGCAAAAACTGCATTGCCGGGTTGGCGGCTATGGCTTTATAGTGCGCGGATTTCTCCAACGACCGGCGAAGCCCCTGATCGGCGTCCGTGGAGACGTAGACAACCTCCTCTGGACGGCGTGTAAAGTAACTCAACGACTTGGAGTTGGCGGCGATGAAGCCTGTAGCAGGGGCCCGCACCGGTCCCACCTGAATGTCATGCCGCTTAAACCGCTCCACCGTTTCAATGTGTTCTGCCTTGACGTTGTCAAAGACAAATGGGCCATCGAGCGGGTCTAAAAGTTTGAGTGAGGTGTACTGCCCGGCATGTGGCCCATTCGGGGCCCCCATCTCAAAGTACGAGGCCCCAGAATAGACCTCCGCATGCTTGGTGACGTTGCAAAGAAACGCGATGAATGCCTCTATCGCGAGTGTGATATTAGGCACATACTTCCCCGCACAGTAGTCGTCGTAGAGCTGCGCCACCTTTGCATGGTTGCCGGCAAAGACAGGGAGAAGCGCCGCAAAGAACTCATGCCTCAAGACCGGGTTCCGTCTATTTTCGCGCGCAATGTATTGAATGTCCATCACGAGTCCATCATCCCGCAGCGCCAGCTCCTCAATGACGTGCACCATCATCTTGTCCTCGTTTTGCCAGCTCCTCGCGCCCGGGCGTCTCTCTCCCAGTTGCCGAATGGCACTAGAAAGCGAGGCAGAACCTTTCCGCTGCCGCTCATTACGCGATTGCGTCGCATTGCCCCTTCGATCGCCCGCGTGTGCGGACGAGCCTGAACCCGGCCCGCCCCACGACAAAATAAGTGAAACAGGCACGGCAAAGTCATCCCCAACCGACTCCTGTTCCGGGCAATTGGCGAGACCGCGAGTCACAACGGCAATGTTCTCCGATGAGAGTCCCATGCGCTCCAGCAGGCGCGCCAACTCTCGGCTCTTGACGAATGGAATGACGTTTCCACTCATCCGCACGGAGCCGCGGTGTAGTTGGCTTGTCTTTTGGGCAAGAAGCGCCGGAGAGACGCCTTTGCCGACCAGCGCCGCGAGTCCCAGCTGGAACTCGCTCACCACGGCTTTCTCGAGGTGTGCGTTGTAGTGCGGGTCGGTAAAGTTGGCGTTGCGCTCCTCTAGTTGGGCACGCTTCAGCAAGTGGAGAATAAACGGCTCATCAACGCTGCCGTGGCTGGCTTGGCTGGCGCACTGCAAGGCATACGCGGTGGGCTCCACATCGGCCCAAATTGTCCCACTACGCTCCCCGCGGTTGCCAGACGGGGACAAGGTGCCATCCACGGTCTGCAGCGAAAGCTTGGGTACGGAGGCGGGAACTCCCGCGTTGAACGCCGCAATCTCCTGCTCGAGGTATTTGGAGAGCACCTGCGCCAAGAGCAGGGAGGGAGGTCGTCCGCGCTCGCGCCACTCATGCAGCGAGAGCAGCAGCTGTCGCACATCAGCCTCGCCGTCGGCGCACTGCTCCACGGCCCACTGATGCACATCCTTGTCCGCAAGCTTCGCGTCAAACAGGCGAACAAGCGCATCCTGGTAACCCAACTCTCGCACCCGGGCATCCTCGGCATTGAGGGTATTGTAATGGCTCGTGTCGTGTGAGGGGGAATGGCCATGTGGCCCCAACCCAAATCCCTTCGCGTAATCTTCCACGATTTCACGTATGCGTTCCCCAATACCGCTCGAGGTTCCAAAGGGTGGGATCTTCCCGCCAAAGGGGAGGGTAGAACTGTTGATGAGGCGCTGCTCCGTTGGGTCCACCAACGCCTTCTGCTCCTTGTTGTGCTGCTCCCACCCAAACTCCAGCGGCTCCCACCAACTCTCATTCAACTGCAGCGAGCTCGTCTTCGTGGGCGACTTGACAAAGTTGCCTGGTCGTCGACCGCTGATGTCTCGCAGCGCCTGCTCAATCACACACATCTCGGCATCCGTCACCGCCTCCACCTCACTCCAGCCGTTCTCTAGCTCATTGCGATCCACCGTTGGGAGGCCCTGCGTGCGCTGATACTCCCATTTGCCACCAAACGTCACGGCCCGGTCACGGCGATCCGGAATGACCTCAAAGGCCTGCGGGTTATGAAAGAACTGCTTCGAGAGCAACCGGTCCTTGTACTCCTTCGTCTCAAAGTCATCCACGGTGGTGTGCTGCGCGTATCCAAACCGTTTACGCTTTGGTGTGTAGCGTCCCTGGATGAGGGAGGCCCACTTCTCTCGCGTAAATGGCGCCTGCTGGAGTTCCTCCAGCCGCTCCTCCGCAAAGTCGTTACGAAACGGCGTACGCCACGAGGGAGGATGCTGTAACTCCTCCACTCCCTGCTCAGTGAGGGTGTAGGCGTCCCGCACCTGCTCCGCGGTGCCAATCGGCTCGGCAACGCTGCGGTCCAGTTCGCTGCCGCCGCCCCGAAGAAGACGCCACTGCACAAATAAGACGCCATCGCGAACACCGACGACTTGTCCCATGGACTCCTCACGTGCGGTGCGCTGTGACTCCAACAGTGTCACGCGCCCCCTCACATGCGGTGCGGCGGCAGCGTAACGCACCGACGCCCACCGTGCACGTATGTCGACGCAATCTGTGCCAAGAAAGACAAGCCCATGCTCCCGCTGCTGCGCAGCGTCAACGTGCATGGCGCACAGTTGCCATTCCGAGTCGCTGCCTTCTTTGCTGACCCCCATCACAATGACCTCGAACTCCTTGCCGCTTGCCGCCACGGAACTCCTAGTCGTATTATGCTCCTTCTTGTCATCCTTGCCCTTTGCGCGGATCAGGAGACGATCGCCGTGCTCAAAGCCGCCAAAGAGGTGGCATGCGTCAGGCGTTGTGTCAAGGAGAAACTGTTTACCGTGCACCGGGTCACTGTACGGCACAGCGCTAGGCGAGGGGTAGGTATGCGTGACACAGTGAAACACGACCCCTGACTGGCTGACACCGAAAGGTTTCAGTGACGCCACGCTCGTATCGAAGACCTGATAGCCATCCTTGTCGGGAAAGACAGTACTGGTGGCGTGGGCAGCCGCAGCCGCCTCTGCGGCCGGCTTTCGTTTAGACGCAGCATCCAACAGTTTGGCCTTGTCGATTTGGAACTGTCGCTCCAGCGCTGCCGCCTTTGCCGCGCGGCCAGCAATGACGGCCTTCAGATGCAACATCTCCCGCCACTCGCTGCCTGTGTAGGCCTCCTTTGGAAGCCCCGTCGACAGGAACGACTTCTCGATCCCCTCCTTCACCTCCCGCCAGTTGATGACGCGCCTTGTTTTGGGATCCAGCTTGTACGGCACTATTGCGGAGGTGTCAAGGCGCCACATGGCAGGCGGCACACGCACCGCCCCTTCCTCCTTTTGTTGTCGTCGGTACTTGCTCATCTCCATATCAATGCGAAACTGCAGCGGTGAAAGCGGCACCTTCTGCACCTCCCCTGTATACCGCGCCGCGTTACTCTCCAAGGTAAAGCTATTTGTGAAAAGGTGCGGATGCGGCGTCGTGTCAAGCAGATGATCGTATGACGCCTGCATCTCTGGCGTGATGCGTATGGACCCCATCAGGAACTCTTTGCTGCCCCGCAGCGCGTTCATAAACTCATTCGCCTTTCCCCGATGCTTCGTCTGAACGTAGACACGCAACAAGGCCTCTGCCTGGCGTTGGGTGTGCTGCGGGGTGCCAAAGTAGGGGTCTTCGGTGGCGCGGTACCACAGCGCCTCCGCGCGGCGGGCCACAACGGCGTACCACTCACGCCCCCATCGTTGATGCGGCGCCCACCGTCCACGATGCTTGCGGAATGGCGTGTTCGCGTCACCCTCGCCACAGTACCGTGTGGTGCTGTACGGCAGACTGCAGCGGGGGCAGAAGTCCTCGTGCACGTAGTTCGCCTCCATCTCAAGAAAGATGCCGAAGAGGTCTGCCAACTCGCTCGGGCGGGCGGCATTGAAGTGCTCAACTAAGTAGGCGTCGCCAAAGTCAAAACTACTCAAGGCGTCGTGAAAGGCAACGAAGAACTCATGCACGTGTTGCGTGTGGCGGGACTTGAACTCACCAATGTCCCCCACCGCGTCGTAGTGGAGCTTAATGAGGTACTGCAGACGCGCAAACCACGCCTTGCAGTGCTCCAGGCTTTTAATATCGCGTATTTGCATCAACTCATCGCCAAGGACCTCCGCCGTTAGCGGGCTGCGTGGGTTAGAGAGCTGCGCCCCATGGGCCCCGGCACGATAGAGCGTGTAGCTCCACTCCGGCTCATGGTGCAGATTTGTAATCGCCGGGCGCGGCAGACCCTTAAACCGCTGATCCGTGGATATTTCATAGGCGGAAAGGTCATTGCTGCCGTCCGTGTTGTTTGCCTCGAACCCGTGCGGACGGCCGAGCAGCTGATGCAGCTCCCGCTGGCCAAAGACGTACCCCCTAAAGAAACGATTGTTTGATGCGTCCGTGTCGGTCTCCCACAGATTCATGTGCCGCGTGTACAGTGGGGTGATAAAAGGCAACCCACGACGTGCCTTCCTGACGTTCTGCTCGTTACTGAAGATGCCGTGCCGCTTCTCATGTATGTAAAACGGCTGCCGCATCTCATCATGTTGCAGCTTCGTGGCGTACTTGAAGGAGAAGCGCCGCTGCAGCGCGAGGGCGGAAAACACAGGCAGCTCCTCACTGACCCGACGGAGGCGTCGGCCGCCGCCGCTCCTACTACTACCACCGCCGCCGTGACCGCCAGCAAGACGACGCAGCATCTTCTCCTAACTGCTACACGCAATGACGCAACTCTACCGCTCCCCTTCCGTGCGTGAGGGTGAGGGCGCAGGCACGAGGTGAAATAGCAAAGACAGGGGAACCGGTGGGGAGGGGGAAAAGAAAGAAAAAAAGAAAG